CTTAGATAACTTTATCACATTTCATTTCACCCCTCAGTACACTATATCAGCATATCTTCCTTCACTCACCCTTCCCAGATTTCCAGGTATCTACTGTGTGGAAAATAATGGTCTTGTAACACCTGTCCATTGCAAATTTAATTTCTCCTCTAAGCTCCTTTCACATGTTCTTATTTTTAACTATGCAAACAAAGACAATTTTTCATCTGATTTTAGTTTTAGGCTCACATCATGAATGATTTCTTTATTAACAGGGAACAGAGAACAATCCCCTTTCTCCAGCAAACTGCAGCACTATCACAATCCATTCAGCAACCTTCCATTTTGTACTATGCTAACACCATTTCGCTCAACAGTCAACCAGAACTTCCCTATTTTACAAATAGATTCAGACAGTTGCGATTCTTTTACAAAGCCTTTCATTTCTTAGGTCAGAGAACATATTTGCAGAATCTCCTTGCTAAGAATTCTGTCAACCTATAATCACTCAAGCCCACCAGATGCTAGTATCCTCACAACAGAGAAAATAATGTAAATTAATCTCAAAGGTTTTGCCACCTAGAGGTTAGAAAAATGTACAAGACACACATTGGATAGTACGTTCCAGCATAGACTGAGCAAATACACCCTAAAGCAGTGGTTCTCAACTTTTTCCATTCTGTGGCCCCCTGTTACAGGAGATAAAAGGTTCAGGGCACCCACCCCATCTACTAGAAAGAAAGGGAAAGTAGCTGTAATCTCACTGGATCTCTTCATGACCCCCAAGTTCAGAACCCCGACTCTAGAGCCTCGTACCTCGGCTGGCCAGGCTGAAAAACTAGATATAAAAACAGGACCCTGTTGAAAACCAGATAATGCATCTAAAATTAGGCTTCCTGGGTAAATAACATTTTAAAATGTCTCCTAGAATCAACATTTGCATTTTTACAGGCATTTATAATCACACGCTTTGCAGGAAATACCCATTTACATGAGAAAAATAAGTAGACACTTTGACTGCTTGAGAGAACACTACACAGCAGTCAGAAATAAGGAAATAGCTGATTGACATGAACTCTGTTTCCTTCAGCAGAGTTTCCAAGTTACTCTCAACAGCTGAAAAAACCCCACGTTAAACCACATCTTTCATCCACCTGACCTCCCAACAGAGTGAGATATACTGATTAAACTTTTCCTTATGTTTCTCATCACTAGCATCCTACACCTTCCTCTCCAATTCCCCTCATAACTGAGCACATATTTGTTCTTGGTTATTGCTGTTGTATTTATCATGACTGAGGGGAATCAAGACTGAGGGGAAAAACAACTGAGGAGAGTTGGCAGTTTTTCAAAGGGACACTATTAAGGGCCCAAAAGCAAGCTATTCCGCTGGTTAGGAAAGATAGAAAATGTGGCAAAAGACCACCTTGGCTTAACCACGAGATCTTGCATGATCTAAAAAATAAAAAGGAGTCATATAAAAAATGGAAACTAGGACAGATTACAAAGGATGAATATAGGCAAACAACACAGGAATGCAGGGGCAAGATTAGAAAGGCAAAGGCACAAAATGAGCTCAAACTAGCTAAGGGAATAAAGGGGAACAAGAAGACTTTTTATCAATACATTAGAAGCAAGAGGAAGACCAAAGACAGGGTAGGCCCACTGCTTAGTGAAGAGGGAGAAACAGTAACAGGAAACTTGGAAATGGCAGAGATGCTTAATGACTTCTTTGTTTCGGTCTTCACCGAGAAGTCTGAAGGAATGCCTAACCTTGGGAATGCTAATGGGAAGGGGGTAGGTTTAGCAGATAAAATAAAAAAAGAACAAGTTAAAAATCACTTAGAAAAGTTAGATGCCTGCAAGTCACCAGGGCCTGATGAAATGCATCCTAGAATACTCAAGGAGCTAATAGAGGAGGTATCTGAGCCTCTAGCTATTATCTTTGGAAAATCATGGGAGACAGGAGAGATTCCAGAAGACTGGAAAAGGGCAAATATAGTGCCCATCTATAAAAAGGGAAATAAAAACAACCCAGGAAACTACAGACCAGTTAGTTTAACTTCTGTGCCAGGGAAGATAATGGAGCAAGTAATTAAGGAAATCATCTGCAAACACTTGGAAGGTGGTAAGGTGATAGGGAACAGCCAGCATGGATTTGTAAAGAACAAATCATGTCAAACCAATCTGATAGCTTTCTTCGATAGGATAACGAGTCTTGTGGATAAGGGAGAAGCTGTGGATGTGGTATACCTAGACTTTAGTAAGGCATTTGATACGGTCTCGCATGATATTCTTATCGACAAACTAGGCAAATACAATTTAGATGGGGCTACTATAAGGTGGGTGCATAACTGGCTGGATAACCGTACTCAGAGAGTTGTCATTAATGGTTCCCAATCCTGCTGGAAAGGCATAACGAGTGGGGTTCCGCAGGGGTCTGTTTTGGGACCGGCTCTGTTCAATATCTTCATTAACGACTTAGATATTGGTATAGAAAGTACGATTATTAAGTTTGCGGATGATACCAAACTGGGAGGGATTGCAACTGCTTTGGAGGACAGGGTCATAATTCAAAATGATCTGGACAAATTGGAGAAATGGTCTGAGTTAAACAGGATGAAGTTTAACAAAGATAAATGCAAAGTGCTCCACTTAGGAAGAAAAAATCAGTTTCACACATACAAAATGGGAAGAGACCGTCTAGGAAGGAGTACGGCAGAAAGGGATCTAGGGGTTATAGTGGACCACAAGCTAAATATGAGTCAACAGTGTGATGCTGTTGCAAAAAAAGCAAACTTGATTCTGGGATGTATTAACAGGTGTGTTGTGAGCAAGACACGAGAAGTCATTCTTCCGCTCTACTCTGCTCTGGTTAGGCCTCAGCTGGAGTATTGTGTCCAGTTCTGGGCACCGCATTTCAAGAAAGATGTGGAGAAATTGGAAAGGGTCCAGAGAAGAGCAACAAGAATGATTAAAGGTCTTGAGAACATGACCTATGAAGGAAGGCTGAAAGAATTGGGTTTGTTTAGTTTGGAAAAGAGAAGACTGAGAGGGGACATGATAGCAGTTTTCAGGTATCTAAAAGGGTGTCATAAGGAGGAGGGAGAAAACTTGTTCACCTTAGCCTCTGAGGATAGAACAAGAAGCAATGGGCTTAAACTGCAGCAAGGGAGGTCTAGGTTGGACATTAGGAAAAAGTTCCTAACTGTCAGGGTGGTTAAACACTGGAATAAATTGCCT